GAGAGAGAGAGAGAGAGAGAGAGAGAGAGAGAGAGAGAGAGAGAGAGAGCCGACGACACGACGGACGACCACGCGGCGATGACGACGAGCACGACGACGACAAGGAGGAGCGACGACGGGGCGGCTCGGCGGCGGCACCCCGCGCGCAAAAATCGAAATTGAATGCACGTTCGAACATCGAATGCGTGCGTTCAATTTTTGAACGTGCATTCAATTCTGTTCGAACGCGCATTCGAAAATTGAACGCATCTTTCTTGCAGGCGGCGGGGGTTCGAAAATTGGCCCTTGCAGCAGGGAGAAAGCGACGGCCCACTGGGGTCTTCGGGGCGTCTGTGCGTGCGGCAGGGGGACTGGGCCCGCTTCGCGATGCTGGGTGGTTCTTTGGGGACAGCGGCGGGCCATTGGGGTGTACGGGGCGAGTATTAGTCAGGCCGCATACGACTTCAACGCACGACAAAGATGCCGCGAGGGCAGGCGTGGGCGTTCGAGGACGCCGGGAAAGACGAGAATCACAAGGGGCAAAAGAAGTGCTGCGTGTACAAGTATATCCGCGTGGGTCAGAGTCTCGGCGAGAGGTTCCRCTGGAACTGCATGTTGAAGTGCCTGTTCTACGGCCACGAGTTCCTGGGAAACCAGTATGTGGCGGCACGCCATTTCAGGCAGGGAAAAGGGTATCTGTCAGTGACCGACGAAGCGCTAATGGACATACACTACAACTCAGACTACAAGTTGGAAGGCAAGATCCTTGACCAGATGCTTCGGTTCGAGGAGCTTCACGGTCTGGCACCTGTGATAGATCCGTGCCAGGACGAGGGAGGGGCGAGACAGGCGAGGGGTGACGAGGAGGTGGTCGACGTTGACAACGTCGAGGACGAGGGTGCGAGGGTTGGGCCATCAACAAGGTACTGAGGGAAGAACGTTGTTCACGAGCCGGGGGGCCAGCAAGGCCGTTACTTTCAGGATGTGCATGTGTCGGCTCGCACTCAGGCGCACCGGGATGCGGAAAAAGTGGCGGGTGCTGTGGGGAAGAGAAAAGAGAAAGAGGAAGAGCGAGGCAGGGTGGGCAAAAGCGCTTGAGACAAAACACTGTCACAGAGTCGTACTCTTCGCAATGGAAGTTGGACTTCAAGAAGAAGTTTTTGAGGTTTGTCTATAGTCAGCGTTTGCCGTTCAACGTATTTCGGAGCGAGCTGTGGAAGGACTTGGTGAATTACTTCAGGGACTTCTCGGGGCGAGTGAAGGTTTTGTGGCCATCACACAATGAGATCGCCGACATTGAGACGGTTATCCGCACARCGGAYGATGTGGCGGGTGATCTCGCAGAGGTCAGGGCTCCTTTCTATGTCACGGGGGCCACCATCATGTCGGACGATAGGAAGTCACGAGATGGTAGACTGATCGTTAACTTCCTTGCCGACGGCTTGCACRGAGTGATGATGGTGAGGACGATGAACAGGGAGGGTGAGCRAGACCGGGCAYCTGACTCGCATGTTTTGGCGCGCAAGATCAAGGTGTTCGATGACTTCCCTCCTCGGTGGGTGAATGCAATCTRCACGGACTCTGCCTCTGCGTACGTYGYCRCGACAAACATGCTCCAGGGGCCCCAACRRAGGCCAGAGATTCAACGAATCACGTGGCTTCCGTGCGCAGTGCATGTCTGCAACAAAATGTTGTCAGACATTGGTTTGTSAAGCCCGTGGTCGGAGGACGTCATTGTGCGGGGGAGAGCGGTGRTGCGCTTCATTAAGGAGCACGACGCCGCTCTGCATATCTTCAGGGGGGAGRGCACACAAATGGGTCTCATTTATCCAATGCATGCGAAACACGTTTCGCATCCGTGTTCGCTATGATGGAGCGTTTGCTTGCAGTGAGGTCAGCGTTGRAGAGGACSGTGGACGGTGACGGTTGGGGTTTGGTTCCCTGGGACAGTAGCGTTGCTTAGTTGGCTCAGTGGGTTAGGTGGCAGGTGCGGCATGGCCCTTGGTGGGATTCCATGGGCATCCTTGTCCGCATTATGGAGCCCATGTATGATATGCTTCGCAGGTTGGACCGGGGAGGGCTGCACATATCGCGGGTTGTGYAGTGGACGCWGGACGTGACCCGCCATGTGGCACGAGAGGTCYGCGCACTTCCACCAGATCTTGCRCACTTTATYATGYARAAAGTGTAGGCTCGGTGCGCTCATATGTTGGAGCCGGCGCACGCTCGTTGAATTCGCGTTAAACGCGAAAATGGGCCGCTCCCGCGCTTTTTGGAAAAACGGAATTGATGCGCGGGGTCTGGAACACGTGGCCCTACAAAAAAAAATAAAATAATAATAATAAATATAATAATAATAAAAATAATATAAAAAAAAAATAATACTAATAAATAATAATATGAATAAAAAACCCAACCCCTGAAGCATCTCCCATCCGCCCCCACATCCCCCAACCCCCAACGCCCCAGTTATGTGTGTGTAGGTGTGTTGTGTGTACGTGTATGTGTGTATGTGTGTGCCTGCGCGTGCGAGTGTGTCTGTGCATGAATATGAATGTATGCGTGTGTGTTTGTGTATGTGTGTGTTTGTAAGTGCGTGTGTGTGTGTGTGCATGATTGTTGGCGTGTGTCCATTGTTTTCCTTTTGAGGGATATAGTTTTTTCCCGTTGAAAACTGAGGGCGGGCGATATGGGTTTGGGCGGGCGATTTAGGTCTTTTTTTTTTTTTTCCCTCTCTTCTACTGCATCTTCCGAGAGATACAGTATCCAAGCATTCTGCTGTTTGTTACAAAGTAACGAAATCTAGAACGGGCTGCCATGCCTCGTTGGCAGGGCTTGCTAAGAAAAGAAAAGAAAAAAAAAACGTACTTACCTTTGCCATGAATCTGGTAGAACATAGGTAGATACACTGCCAGTAGTTTAGAGCTTAAAATGTCATTTTTCCTTGCCGCGTGTGGGGCGGCACAACCGTCAGTAGCTTGCTATTCGTTTTTCAATTTTTTTTATTTTTTTTTTTCCTCTTGCGATCCAAGAATCTGGGCTCCGTCCAGCGGCCTAGCTCAGTTGATTAGGCACGCAAGTGGGATTCAGGAGGTTGTGGGTCCAATCCCCGCCTATGGCACTCTCGATGCCAACCAACTGGGATAGTCAGTTGGATCCTCCCAGTCTATATCAGTAAGGTCTTCAGCCAACACGGCTGGGAGGCACCTCCTGTCCGTACTATCCTACCTCAGTATGACCAGCACTGAGGACCATCACCCTACCAGTATTGAGGGCAACTTGGACCACATAGCAGTGACAAGCACCAGGGTTGGGTCAACCTCCCATCCCTAATAGAAGCGGAGGCGGACGAACCATGTCGTACAGGAACTTGAGACGCCAGACTCATGTAATCTGCTACAGGCCCAATTTTTTGTGTGTGTGTGTCTTTTTTCCCTTTTTTTTATTTGCTTTTTATGGTTTTGATTTTTTTAAAAATACACAAAGTTCTTAAAAAAAATAAAAAAATAAAATTGTTGTACATCTTTGAAAGATCTACAGCCCTTTTTTTTTTTTTTTTTTTTTTTTTTTTGTTTTAGCCCTTAAAAAATTTGTGTGAAACCCAAAAACAAAACACTTATTTCATTTTAGTTTTCGTTTTTTTCATTGTGTGTTTATGTGTTTTATTTTTTTTAAATACATTTAAACATCAAAAAATAAAAATAAAAATACAAAAACATTTTGTGTGGGCGCGAGACCCGTGTGGGTCGAGAGCTCYTCCGGGAGAGGTTRCAGATGTTTTTGGGACTCGAGCTGMCACATTGCACCCCTACCWCGRAGATGACGATAGTGATGACGAGGGCCCYGAGGGGGAGGACGAGCGGGTGGGACCTGCTGCCCATCCGGCCTCACATGAGGCTGATGAGTGGAGCGACCCGGAGGACATCCGTAGACGTAGTGGCGGGGGCGACCTGTTTGGTGGAGGTGACGAGAGCCCTTTTGAGCGAGAGAGGCCTACGTCTCCGAGGCCTCAGTTTGTCGATACGTAGGCAGTGCATGGATCTACACGTTCGAGGGGCGCAGAGTCAGCTTGCGGTGCCGACGCTTTTGGGAAGCATCCCTGGCATATTCGCAGTGGGATGGCTTCATTCGCCGTTGTTCCCCATCCGTCGGAGGAGCTTCATCGAGGCTCACCCCCCAGAGTCCGACTGCACAGATTGGTGAAGGGTCTGAGACAACGATTAGAGGTGAGTTTAGTGGGCGGTCGTTCGCCGGGTGAGAGGGACGAGAGAGATGTGCACGGGCCGACAAGTGCACATAGTGCTCCGTTGGCAGGAGACGGACGTGGTCCAATTGTGGCGGCAGTTCACACAGATGCTCTTGGGRGGGGGTCGTGATGAGGGGATATCGACGGGCAGTGGCGGCRGGTTTAGTCAGTTTGGTGATTTGGGACCGCCCCTTGGAGAGAGTGATTCTCGGGGGGACTTCAGTGTCGGCATGCAAGCCATATTAGACCAGATCAGCGCCATGCAGTCGAATACTTTCACCCCTGCCATGCGTGGAGAGATAGGAGCATCGCCAGTGGAGGTAGAGGTAGATGAGGACATCACACCCCCTGGAGGCTGGATAGGCTTGATAGTCGTCGAGCTTGCCTCCTGGCATGAGCCGACCCCAGGACGAGGAGTTGGCTCGTCTAGCAGCGGAGGAGCGATGAAGACAGTTGGGGATGTTTATAGAGATGCCCTTTGAAGCACAGGCAGCCGCCCACATCGATCCAGTGATAGAGGTTCACGACGGGACACAGGGGGAGCCTGCTGTAGTCAAGGCAACTTTGGCAGGGACACAGGGGGAGGCAGCTGCAGGCGAGCCGACTTCAGTCGGGATGCAGGGGGAGGCACCTGGAGGCGAGGCAGCTGGAGGCAAGGCGACTTTAGGTGGGATGCAGGGGGAGGCACCTGGAGGCGACGCAGCTTGGATAGAGAGGGAGGGACCTGGAGGCGAGGTAGCTGGGATGCAGGGGGAGCCACAGGGGTTGCACGAGACCGGGGTCGCAACACTCGAGGACCCGCGTCTGGTGCCCGACCAACCTCTTCACAATGGGCAGAGGACTGAGGATGCTTTGCCTTAGACCATGAGCATGCCTTTACCGACGATTTTTATTGAGGGCGCCATGCACATGTACTCGGGTTTGGAGGACATACATATGGGTCAGTCAATGGGCGTTGATGACGTGGCACAGGGCCACAAACAGATAGGATAGCGCCGACCAAGGGGGGGGGGGGGACATGTCACAGAAGACACTACTGTTGGGGGGGTAATGGAGCGAGTTCATTGTGATCAGGTGTCCACGGTTGGGGGGGCGTCGCCATGCAGAGGTCGATTGCGAGGTTCAACATAGAGAGGAGGCGATCGCTACGCCTGTCAGAGACAAACATGAGGCGTCGTGGAATTTGGTGGTCCGCACGGTCGTGGGGCCGGTGGTGCCACATGAGGCACTTTTCCTGTGGATCCGAGGCGTTGTGCAGGTGGTGTCTCCTCGATCGTAGAGCGACATGTAGGCAAGGGCATGTGTGCACCTCCGATCCCGCCTTTCGCAAAGTCAAGGTAGAGGACACAGTCGAGGTATGTGCCTCCGCCTCGCGGCACCCTTGCATTCGGCTATATGACCGCCGAGGAGTTGAAGGCGCACGACACGATAGATTACACTGGGATCGACACCGGCCTGCAGGATTTGTCTTGGGCGCCAGGCAGCCCGAGCTTACCATCTGGAGGTTCTATTGTAGCGACCTCCCACGGGGGTGGAGGGTCATTGTCACCCCCAACCACAGATGTCCAGTCGCGCGGTAGTCACACTCTGAGGTCGACTGGCCAAAGACAGAGAGACACGAGCGACCATGGACGAGACATGATTTTGTTCGATCACACTGATCGGTCATGGAGCGAGACGAAACGGGTGACATCGGTGAGCGCGAGTCGTCAGCCGGGTTTGAGAGGGGTTTCCACGAGCGAGAGTCGTCGAGATGTTGTGGCGTCGGGGCTTGGCAATAAAGGCGGGGATAGTGGCGGCATGCGTGGTGGACGTGAGGGCACGTGCGATGCCGATGCAGAGGCATTACAACGTCCACTGTCGTACGTTTTGAGAGACTTAGAGAGAGGCCTCCATCATTTTAGAGGAGCATGTGGTTGGTCGATGAGCCAGACAGGTCTGACACGTTGTTGGGAGAAAACCCGGGGAGGGGCTACCTACCGTTCGCTGAGGCCATGAGCTACGGCGCCTGTCACTTCGCCGCGCCCGCTTCCGAGGTCCTCGGCGACCAGTAGGGATGATATCCACAAGTTTACAGAAATTGGTTTTAGGAAATAAACAGCGATAGTAAATAAATAAAAGAATAGCAAAGTCAAAACTAGAATTCTCTCTCAATCTGTCTCTCACTGTGTGTGTGTGTGTGTGTGCGTGCGTGCGTGTCTGCTTGCGTGTGTGTTATGTGTGGGCGCACTTCTACCACTGTGCTGCCTTGCTTCAGAGTTCGGAACTTCCAACTTCCTCAAAAGACCGCTGTATCACTGTCCCCTTCTCCTTGCGTGAACCTGCTCCCGCTCTCTC